CGTTAGTTCACGCCTTAATCACGTCCAGGTTAGATTACTGTAACACTCTGCTTTCTGGTTGTTCCAGCCAAAACCTTAACAAGCTTCAGTTAGTCCAGAACGCTGCAGCCAGAGTTCTCAGCAAAACCAGGAAATTCGACCACATTAGCCCAATTTTGTGTACCTTACATTGGTTGCCAGTTAAATTCTGCATTGAGTACAAAACTCTTCTACTGACATATAAAGCTTTGAATGGCCTTGATCCTCAGTACCTCAGTGACCTTATTTCCTATTATCAACCGACATGCCCACTTAGATCACAAGGTGCGGGCTCATTATTAGTGCCAAGAATAAATAGAGTTACGTCAGGGGGAAGAGCCTTTTCATACAAAGCCCCCCAGCTTTGGAATAGCCTACCAGTCTGTGTCCGGGACTCAGACACAGCCTCTATCTTTAAGTCTAGGCTAAAAACGTACCTGTTTAGTCGAGCCTTTGGTTAATTTGTTTTTCTAACTATGTCCCTCTCATCCCCCTCCCCCCTACCCCCCCTTTCCCCCTCCCCCTCTCTTTCCCTGAGCTGAGCGGCTGCCTGTCCTAAGAGGGTCTGATGTGACTGATGTGGCCGGTGGACTGCACAGTGGTGTTAAACTGTATCTACTTATACTGTTTTGTGTCTGTGCTGTTATCCGGTGTCGACCAGAGGAGGATGGGTTCCCCTTTTGAGTTTTGTTCCTCTCAAGGTTTCTTCCTCCTGTTGAGGGAGTTGGTAGTTGGTATGGTATGGTGTAGTGGGTAACACCTCTGCCTTCTACACTGTAGACTGGGGTTCAAACCCCACCTTGGTAAACACCCTACACTATACCAATAAGAGTCCTTGGGCAAGACTCCTAACACTACCTTCGCCTACCTGTGTAAAAAAAAAAAAAATGATCACAATGTAAGTCGCTCTGGATAAGACCAAATGCCATAAATGTAAATGAGTTTTTCCTTGCCACTGTCGCCAAGGCTTGCTCACTGGGGGCGTGGACCTGGATTCTTTGTAAAGCTGCTTTGTGACAACATCTGTTGTAAAAGGTGCTATATAAATAAATTTGACTTGACTTGTTACCCACATCCTCTAATCAACATGAACCTGCAGTAGTAGTCGTTATGTAACAGTACTTAATGTAGAAAGCTTTACTTCATTACCAGTTTTGTGGGTTTGAAGCAAGTTCATTGTAGACATTGTAGTGACAAAGGCATCTGCATCATCTTTTCTCAAGTATAGGAGGTTTATGAGAGGGTGAGTACGTATTACAGCTGGTGGAGGAAATTGCTGGCTGTTGTTGCTGGGCAGCACCAGTTTTGGCCATATCTGTATTGTGTTACCTTCGTGAACCAATCATGTCTCACTGTCTTGGCTCATGCAGTTTAAAGAGCCCGAAGGCCAGGTGGCAGGGTGTATCATAGTGCTACATGAGTACAATTTTTCCTTTATAATTACTTTTCCTTTATAATAATAATTACTTTAAGAAAACAGTCAACAAATAACAACAAGCAACAGTATGATATTTTTTTTTGCCTTACCAAGATGTATTATAAGTACAGTACTCTATGTTTTCTCGGTTTTTTTTGTTTGTAGTTGGATACATTATTGAATACTTTTAGCACAGCTCACAACTGTTTGTGTTGACACCCAATGAAAAAAATGCTATACAACTCAATTTGAGTATATTTTGTAAATGTTTATATTAGCATAACACACAAGAGAAGCTGTAAAATACTAAACCTTGTCTGTTGCCAGTACTATACAAAAATTACCATTTAAATGCTGTAGTTCTGAATGACACAAAGTCTAAACGTTAATGGAAAAGACAGGCCTGTAATGTACCAGGTTTTGAGAGTGAACCACCCCCCCCCCACATACACACACACACACACACACACACACACACACACACACCTGAGTGTGTCCAGTGTGTAGTGAGGATCATCCAGTAGATCAGACAGCAGCTTCACTCCAGATTATCCTGGGTGATTATAGGACAATTCCAGTTCTCTCAGGTGGGAAGGGTTTAATTTCAGAGCTGAAGCCAGAGAACCACAGCATTTGTCTGTAATCATACAACCAGACAATCTGCAGAAAGGAAGGAGAAAGAGGAACAGATGGCATTTACACAGCAAGAGAATTTTCAATTCAGCAACTATATCCCGTTCTGAAAGGCCTATATTTTTCAAGGTGTGCAGAGCAGACAAAATGCTTATTAAGCATCCGTCCCATTTTTTACCTTCATCTTACTCTAAAAACAGGCATTAGCTTACTATTGAACTGTTCAAATACTGTGAACAAATAGCTTACTTTGTGAAGAAGGCTTTTTCTGCTGGTTTGTTAGTTTGTTGTTCATGAGGCCTTCATTCATTAGTAGCACTAAAAAACCTGCTTTGATCTGAGAGATCAAGAGGGACAGTAAGAATGAAGGAGGTACTTATGGCCAAGAACAACAAAGGGCATTGAGAGGTTTAAAGGAGCATACAGTTTTTAATGACTTGAGCTGATCTAATAGCTGATTTGTCAACATTGAGAGTGAAGTTGGAGAAGTTCAAAACTAAAGCTTTAGGGCCTTCTAACAGAACATATGCACTAACAGACTGTAATGAAACTGTAGGTGATTTAGTGCTAAATCTGAGCAACATTAACATAGCAGTGATCAAGTTTTCGAGTGATCTGACCTACAGGTGAAATAAGTTGTATAAAAAGGACAGAATTTTGGGGCACTCCCTAAGCAATCAAGAGCAAACCCAGGAATGCCTATAGATGAAAGTCTAGATGAAAGCCATGCCATGGTTTACTGTGTTGGAAGCTTTCACTTTCTGTAGGCGCTAAAAATGTTTAAATGTAGCTTATCCTCAATTGGCTGCCAGGTCATCAGATAAGTGATCACATCATTAATCAGTGAAGCCTTACTAGTATAGGAAGATATCTTCAGTAGGATCGTTTTAGCAAGATTGATGGTTGAAATTCTGGAGGAGGCAGTGGTACATGCATTCAGTTTTCAGAAAAAGCAAAGACCACAGTTAATCATGTGTGCATTCTAGAAGTGTCCAGATAATGGGGATACAGGCCTCCAAGACTAAGTGAGCAGCAAGAGAGTGTGATGGCCAGCAAATGTATTTTAGTTGATGCACAAAGCCAATTACATGTCATAAATTAGAAACAAAACTCCAATTGGGCAGGTGTATTTAAGATTTTTGGTTCATTTACTAAATACATTACCCACTTCAAAGAAAGAAAACTTGAACCAAAGCAGACAATTCAAATAAAAAAAAAATACAGATGAGCAAACATAATCCAGGGCTAAACAACACAATTTTATTGACACAAATCCAACTGGCATATGACCACAATCACCACAACGTAGTACCACATTAGAATTCAACCATTCCAACGCCAAACAGCACAAATTACAAACCCATGATGAACACAGAGAAGCAGTTAGGCTAGACAACCCAGCAAATCTGCCAACAACAACTTGGGAGGGTGGAAACTCACTGTGGATGCAGTTCACATAGGTACAGGAGGGACAGGGCTTGGGGTGGTTGGCTAAAACTATTGCAACTGGTTGTTCAATTAACAAAAAAAATCTGTGAGCCAGTAGTCCAAAAGATCCAAAAAACTGGGAAATCCAAACAGACCAGAGATAGACAGAAAAACAAGACATAAAACAGAATTTGTTAAAATAGAATGTGATACAACTGATAAAAGTTTCACTTTTATTATCATCTAACTAACTTTTCACAAACTGGCTTCTTTAAGTTGAGAGGTATGGGTTGAACAAGACTCTTTTGTAATGCTGACTGAGGTAACAGGCCATTAAGTGTTTCTCTGTTTCTCTGTTTTTCCTGTGCAGCATGCAGGGGGTGTGAGGTCTTGTCCAAGATGGCTAACAGCTTGTTGAGAGTCCTTTGTTCTGCCACAACCTCCAAAGAGTCCAGCTTGACTCCCACAACAGAGCCAGCCGTCCTAATAAGTTTGTTTATTTTGTTCAGAGCACTTTCTGCTGCTGCCCCAGGACACAACAGCCTAGAATAAAGTACTTGCTACAACAGACTGGTAGAATGTCCATAGGAGCTTCATGCACACACCAAAAGACCTCAGCCTCCTCAGGAAAGATAGACAGCTTTGGCCTGTCTTGTACACTGCAAGAGTGTTACAGCTCCAGTCCAGCTTGTTGTCCAAGTGCACACCCAGATATCTGTAGGTTCCCACCACCTCCACATCAACTCCATCAATGGTGACTGGTGACAAGTCAGGCTTGGAAGTCCAGCACCATCTCCTTAGTCTTACTGATGTTTAGCTGCAGCTGGTTCAGCTTATACCTGTCAACAAAGTCCTTCACCAGCTTCCTGTATTCCTCCTCCTGTCCATTCCTCATGCACCCCACAATTCCCATGTCACCTGAGATTTATGGGCAAAGGACATGACTTTGTGTTGTACCTGAAATCAGAGGCATGCAGGTTGAACACATTTTATTCAGCGATTGTTATTATTGAGAACAGCCTAACTTGTTCTCACTGAGTAACTAAGGGCAGCCGTGGGCTAGATTAGGCAGTTGTGGGCTGGAGATTAGGGAACCAGCCCTGTGACCAGAAGGTTGCCGGTTTGATCCCCTCGGCTGACAGTATGTGACTGAAGTGCCTTTGAGCAGGGCACCTAGCTCCCAACTGCTCCCTGGGCACTGTGGATAGGTTTGCCCACTATTCTGGGCAGGTGTGCTCATCGCCACCTAGTGTGTGTGCATTCACTGCATGGATGGGTTAAATGCGGAGGTGAAACTTCCCCATTGTGGGACTAAAAAGGGTCACTTAACTCACCATTGCACAGCTCAGATGTAAGTTTCAGTCATGGCCCTTTTCATCTCACTCAGCACAGCAGAGCTGATCATGGAAACGAAATGATGGCTCTTCTAGTTTTCAGAAAATCAAACTTGTAGTAAGCTGAAAAAAAACTACACTTCTGTTTGACAGCTTGGACAAAGCAAAAAAACAATGCATTTAAATCGATCAAGCCCCTTACCTGATAAACTAAGCTTTCCTTTCTAACTCAGGACAGAAGCCCAAATCATTTTTTTATTTCATTTGAAATACATTAAATCATGAGTGTACCTTAAAATTTAAATTACGGAAGCTCTTCCCAAACTCTGAGCAGTGATGTTGTTTTCTCAGGAGTGAATGCACTGGTGATTTTTGAGGGCACCACTTTCTCTAAAACTCTGTCCACACTCTGAGCAGAGATATGGTTTCTCTCCTGTGTGAATGCGCTGGTGTCTTTGGAGACTACTGTGTTGAGTAAAGCTCTGTCCACAGTCTGAGCAGTGATACGGTTTTTTTCCTGTGTGAATTAGCTGGTGTGTTCGGAGATTACTCTGTTGAATAAAACTCTTCCCACACTCACAGCAGTGATACGGTTTTTCTCCTGTGTGAATGCGCTGGTGTGTTTGGAGATTAGTTAGTAAAGTAAAACTCTTCCCACAGACTGAGCAGTGATAAGGTTTCGCTCCTGTGTGAATGTGCTGGTGTTTTTGGAGACTACCAAGTGAAGTAAAACTCTTCCCACAGACTGAGCAGTGATACGGTTTCTCTCCTGTGTGAATGCGCTTGTGTCTTTGGAGACTACTGTGTTGAGTAAAGCTCAGTCCACAGTCTGAGCAGTAATACGGTTTCTCTCCTGTGTGAATTAGCTGGTGTGTTCGGAGATTACTCTGTTGAGTAAAACTCTTTCCACACTCACAGCAGTAGTACGGTTTCTCTCCTTTGTGAATACGCTGGTGTATCTGGAGATGACTCTGTGAAATAAAACTCTTCCCACATTCTGAGCAGTGATACGGTTTCTCTCCTGTGTGAATATGTTGGTGTATTTTTAGACTACTCTGTGTAGTATAACTCTTTCCACAGTCTGAGCAGTGATACGGTTTTTCTCCTGTGTGAATATGTTGGTGTATTTGGAGACTACTCTGTGTTGGAAAACTCTGTTCACACTCTGAGCAGTGATACGGTTTCTCTCCTGTGTGAATGCGCTGGTGGTTTTTGAGGTTACCACTTTCTCTAAAGCTCAGTCCACATTCTGAGCAGTGATATGGTTTCTCTCCTGTGTGAATGCGCTGGTGTCTTTGGAGACCACTCCGTGTAGTAAAACTCTTTCCACACTCTGAGCAGTGATACGGTTTCTCTCCTGTGTGAATGCGCTGGTGTGTTTGGAGATGACACTGTTTAGTAAAACTCTTTCCACACTCTGAGCAGTAGTGAGTTTTTTTGCCTGCACTTTTTTGTGTTGGTCTGCAAGGTGTGTTCATGTTTTCTGAGTACTTCCAGACACCATATTCTCACATCCAGTCTTTTCCTTATTTCAGCAGGTTCATGCTTTGTTTTTGAAGGGTAATTTGAAAACTAGTTGGAAAGTTGTTGTTTAGAGCAGGAGACTTGCAGCAGGAGATAATTCTGAAAAAGAAAAATGGAGGAGAAAATAAAACACTTGTAGATTAGGTGTTATAGAAGATAACTGAAAAATTACAACATCCTATGTTTTTATAAAGAACTTAAAACTCACTTAGGTAAGAGCAGAATATACAAACACTCAAAAGCACAAATGTGCGAACAATTCTGCAGTTTAAGAACACGTCATGAATCTGACAGACTTTTTCTTAGGACCTTTAAAAAGAAACTTGGGAAGATCTTGAATGAGGACCACTGATGTACTGAGGCAACAGGGGGCCACCTATGTCAACAGCATACCCACATAGCCAGAACTTATTTAACTCAAATCATATTGGCATTTTAAAACATGCAATAGATCATGTTCTTATTGAACAATGAACATGTACAGTTTCCCGTACACATGAGAAAGCAAAGATACTGTACTGTGATCAAGGTTGACCAAAATTCCTATAAGAGTACATGAACACAGACCATGTGAGAAAAACAGACACACAGACTGTCAAGAACTGAGAGTCATTATAGTTTGTGTGGTAACTATATCATCGTGAATCATGTCAGAAACTTTTCTAGAACCATGGTGAACCTGTTGGCCCCACAAAATGTACTTTCTACAAGAAACCACAGCCATAGACATTTTTAAGTCGAATCAGATTATGCATCTCTTCATTGTAGATTGCTACTCCAGATATGCGTACTTGACTTCTCTGGGTGCATACAGTTCAAAACGTTTTACTTAAGGCACCACATTACCCACAAGCTAACAGAGAGGCAAGTAGAGTGACACAAACTGGGATTTTTTAGATAGATATATAGATATATAGCAAGATGACCAGGACAGCACAGTGAAGAGTAGTAACAGCAAAGAAATCATGAAGCCAGTTTTAAAATATCAATTGTCTTCATTCAGTGCCAACATTAAGGGAAATAGTATGAAAAATTTGAGAAAATCACACTTGAACTGTACTGACCTTGATCAAAAGGGCCAGTTTTCAGAGAAATCTATATTAGTGGGCAGAGCACAGGAGGCATATGCAGTGGTAGATAACAAAAGGTCTAAGTTTGCACTGATCAAAGCAGTCAAAGATGCCTAATACAAATACAGGGATACAGTAATTCTCCTCAAATGAAATGTTTCTCCATTTGGGAGGTGACTCCAGAACTTTACTATCCACAAATTTTGCAGCAAATATTGCAGCTAATCACAAACCAACTGAATAACTTTTAATCAAGATAAAAAAGCCTTTCCTCCTGTAGGTCCAGCAAGTGTGGCCATATTAATAAAACATACTTAAATCTCATTCTAATTTAGTTTTTGAGTTCTCATTCCAAGTTTATTAATTTTAGTCTATTCTTAAATATACACACTCAACTTTTCAAGTGAGACTGATCATTTCTGAATAAAAAAGTTGTAAAAATGGGTGTTTGTGAACAAGCTTTCCAACACCGCCCATCTTGAAGTGATTAGCATATAAGGGTATGATCACCTGTTCAACAGGAAGCATACTAAAATTATTAATTCATTTATTTATTAAAAATAATACCAAATAATACTAAAAGAGCTGAGAAAGAGGATGGCATTAAACCAGCCTGATCTTGAAAGGTGGCTCTCTACAGGGCTGGGACTACCAGGTTTTTAAGAATGTATGAGCCAGATTTTCAGTTTAATGAATAGCAAACTAATTTATCTACAGATAGATTGGCTAGGGTAGAGGCTGAGTTGTGAAAGCAGAGATCTCTCCAGGTTGCAGGAGACAGATTTAGCAGTTGAAGACTCTCTTTCCTTTGAAAACAAATGACAATAAACATTCAAGCAGACTGTTGTGTTAACTGTGTGAAGAGTACTCAGTACCAAAAATGCTTCTTAGCAACTGTACAAAAAAATGTAGCTGGTTCAGTAGGAATATCCAAGTGTAGAAGCTTCTAATTCTGCTGATTTTATTATCAGGAACAGAGCACTGAACTTGAAGCAGTACTTAAAGAATATAGGCAGACGCGTTAGAAATAAAGATAAACGCTGAACTGCACTGACATTTATGTTGATGTCATAACAGGACTCAGCTACTGATAGGGAGGTTACAGCATTTGAGGTTTTAACATTTCAGGAACTTAAAGCATTGTTGTTCAATTATCAGTTTAGTTAAGTAAGCTTCAGGGAGACTTGCATCTCAAAAAACGATACACATTTACAACAAATAACCCTGGTTCTCCATTGACTTAGAGACACTATGCAAAGCCAAGAAAGACAGCAGTGGAGCACTGGCACCAGATGAAAGGGCTAAATGTGCAGTCAACAGCAAATAGGGATAAACTGTGACAGATCAAATAAGAGTTCCTTTATCTGGAGGAGATTCAAGACTAATTCTAACTACCATCCTAAGCCTTAAATGTTCCAAAACAGCTGAATATCTTCTGCTTAAGAACTGAGAAACAAAGAATTTCTGCCTCCCTCCTGCTATGCTACCGTCAGCCTATGGCACCCTGTCTGCAGACTGTTCACACCTCATCTCTGCCAGTTCTCACCTCTAAAGGACCTACGACCCCCCCACTCTCTCTTATCATTATCACTGAACATCAGGTCAGACAAAAGATTGGCAATATGGCTGGCCCTGATGATATCTTACCTTGAAACCACAAAGCTATGGCCATCCTTGCTAAAAAAAAGTTCAATAAATAAAAGTGGGTTACCATGACCCTCTATAACTCAGAACTGGTGGTCCTCAGAGGTGCATGATCTCTCCTCCTCTACTTTCTCTAAACCAATATAATTCTAGTGAAAATGAAATTTGGAGAACTAGTTTGGTCTCATTTTCAAATTAATAATGAGCCCACATACTAGGAGGAAGTAAGACACCTGGGATCAAACACCCCATTTCCATCTGGCCGTTAACATATTAGGATACAATCCAGAAACTAAGCATATGAAGTGACCAGTGTAAATGGGGTCAAATCTGACAATTTTGAACACGACAGGCTATTCAGAAAGAAGCTAAATACACAGCTTCAGTCAGCAGACCGTTTTTACAAATTCCTAGAGATGATCATTCAGTAGAACCTCAAATGGGACAGGTACACCTTGACAGCTATGAACAAGGTTAGGCAGTGACTGCATTTTTTCATGATGGCTAAGATCAAAACGGAACGCCTAAAACGCTGCTGGTTCTGTTTTAAACAGACATTACTTAAAAAAAAAATAAAAAGTGCATCAAGGATAAACTAAAGCAAATTATGCAATGTGCAGAAAAAGGGGACTGGCAACTGGGTCTCCTCCCTAAAAAAACAGTATTCATCTAGGATGTGGAAGAGAGTGTGGCCAATCACACTCCCTCACACATCAATGAATCTAGTTTCGTCAGAAAAGGTATAAATTTAAGTTAGTCTATAGTTCAGGATGTGTATCACCCTGTGAAAATGATAAATAAAACTGGGTTGCACCTGAAAGTGCAGCTTATTAAACAATCTCTGGATGCAAGCTATGGTCTCACTAAACTGGAGCTGTGGATGTAAGCTGTGGTCTCACCAAACTGAAGCTGTGGATGTAAGCTATGGTCTCACTGAACTGGAGTCATGTAACTATTGAAAATTAAACCAGCTTAAACTTCTTATAAGGAGATGTAAATATTTAGTGAAGACTAACTTAACATAAAAGTGGTGCAGTAGTTTGTGTAGTGCAACCTCTTAGCTTTAGTAACACAAAGTAAACCTGAACTTAGAAAACACTTACTTACTACCCTCAAGACGACTTAACCCCCCCCCCCAAACACACACACACACACACACACACACACACACCCTAACTTCAAAAGGGAGCACCCACCCTCACTAAAGCAGGGCCCCCATACAAATTTAACAGCAATCCCCTAAACTGAACAGCACACTCATACCAACCAAAACCCAATCCCTAACTAAACCAGCAGCCCCCACACAAACCTACACACATTGGGTTCAATGTAATCACTCAAAAAGTAAAATGAGCCTAAAAAAAAAAGTATTAGCAATAAGGTGAATATGCAAAAAACTATCAGTATAGACACTTAAGTTTCTCTCTATTTCTGTAAGCGTGAGTTATAAACAGTGTAAACAGAGTGAAAAAGAGATAAACAGCTCTTTACCTTCAGCAGATCAGCTCCTGTTTCTCTCTATTTCTGTAAGAGTGAGTTATAAACAGAGGGAAAAAGAGATAAACAGCTCTTTATCTTCAGCAGATCAGCTCCTTTTTCCCTCTAAAACCGCTCTTCTTCTTCTCCACTTTATTGTCTTTGGTGAACAACCGTTTGAGAACTAGCGCCCCCCCAGTTGACGTCATCTCTGTATCTGGGGCGATGTTTTTCTAATCCCACCCGTATTCCTCCAAAACCCGCCTCCTGCGCGATGATTGGCTAGAAGTTCATAAGAGCAGCCGACCATTTATTTGAATTAACACAAATGAGCAATAAAATGAAAGAATAAGAATTAACGGAACACATTCAATTATCATACGGATTATAATATAAACAACTGCAGCAAACTTGGTCAGAATTGATGTCAAAATTAATGCAGCAGAAGATCAGACATTGATGGAGGACAGTTCAAATAACTAATAAAAGAAAAAGAAAATAATATATATTGTACATTTTTTTAAAAAACACCAACCAGGAAATATTTAGATTTTTTAGTATTGATTTAAAAAGTTCTGAAAGCATTTAATACATTTCTGTATTTCCTGCTAGAAAATAATCAACTGAATTGACAGAGGCTTTTAAATGCCATTTATACATCTCCCTGAAATTTGGTAACAGGGTTGCAAAAAGGCTGTACATTTCAAAAAAGCTCAGATAGTCTCTGATTTAACAGCCTGAGGTGGATATTAACATTTCTTGAAGGTTAAGCAGGTTAAGCACTTACTTTGATGAATACTTTGTCATAAAATGCCAAAGAAAAAGTACATTTCAAAGAGCTTTTAAGTCTAAAGTGAACTTTGTTCACGGGAAATGCCAAGTTCAACTGAATTAAATTTCCTAATTGATTAAATCTTTTCCTTCTCTCAGTACTTACCTTTACTCAGTTTCTATGTAAATAGCTTGAATGTGAATGTTTCTTTTCCTATTGAGTACATAAATCATGGCATGCAACTCCAAACACCACCAAGAGATCTTCGGCTACAAAGTGAGAAAAACCTCCTTCTGAATGACCGCCGAACACTTGAACAATTTCAGACTTAAAGACATAAAGGACAAACTTCAGCTTTCTCTGCCAGCCCCATCCCCACAAAAACAAAAATTATTGGACCAAATGACTACAGGCCAGTAGTCTTGTCCTCTGTAGTCATGAAGGTCTTTGAACATGTGGTCCCAGCTCTACTGGAAGACCGGTCTGTCAATGGCATGGTCAGCTTGGCCCTGCACTTCATGCTGCAGCATCTCGACAGTCCTGCAACATTTGCTAGAGTTCTGTTTGTGAACTGATTAAACTGATAGTATGCTGAGAATTGCTTCTGAGTAGGCTCCACTTACATTTTATTGTTGACCTTAAGATTCAGAGCTAAAAAGTGTGAGTTATAATAACTGATAGTTAAACTACTTTGATTTATATAAAAAAATTATGCGTAATCATTTACCTCATTATTGTAAGTTGACTGACCTTCACATTTTTTGCAAGTTGTGTTTTGAGTAAAAAAACAATGTTGATTTTCTTTACCAAAACATAAACAATAAATTAAATTAAAGGCTATCCTAATCTAATATGAATATTTTACATGGGTGGTCACATGAGAACAATAATGTGTGTCTAAAAGAAGTAAGGGAAATGTTAAAATACAGATTCTTCATGAAAAGATTATCAACAGAAAGATATATGTATTTACAATGAACCTGATAGTAAAATAACAATAATTAATAATTTAACAGTTTATCATTCAGTAACTATGGGGACTCCAGTGCAAACTGCCTGAGCTATTCTTAATGTGTAATAAAACGTTGTAAATGTTCTTAAGGTGCTTCTCTGCACAATGTCATCAAAGAACCACTTTGGTTTAATAGACATATAAGAATTACTTTTGTCCATGAAATGTATGCAGGTAAAGACCCTTTTTAAAGTTTAATGAGCCTCCACATAATGTAAATGATCAGAAGAACTCCTACACCTCTGTACACCTTAAAACATCCGTTTTCACCCACAGATCTCTTTATTAAACACAGTTCTTCAGAAAACCAAATGTGCTTCTTCAATGGCATCATTCCTTTATGGAACTTTTTAATTATAGTGTATTGGTCAGCAGTAACATGTTTTCAGTTTGAAAAGAGACATTTACGTTGATGCAAGAACAAAATCAGCGAAACTTAGTCAGAGGTAATAAGGCTGTGGATTGTGATGATATTTTCATTTTAGAAAGGAATTGTAATATTTTTATGGACACATTTGTACTTTGTGGTTTCATGTTTAGAAGCCAAGAGTTTGGGGTTTCCTGATTTGGGTTTGAACAGCACATTTTACATAAACCTCCCCAGTGGATGTTTGTCTTGCCAATTAAATAAGGCCATTCCTTTGGGTGGTGGTTATCAACTATTGTTTATTTTCGTGGCCATGCTTGGACCTTGCTGCAAAGGTTGGGGAAATAATTATAGACATTTAATGGTAAGTGACTTTACTCCATGGTGTGTAAACAGCTCTTAAGAATGCTATCATTATTAATGTTGGTTTGTGTAACAGATCCTGCCTTTGGTCCTCTAAATGTTTCTTCCCCTCAAAGGTAGCCATGTGTCTTTGTTTCCATGTGCTTTTGTTCTGTGTTTCCTCCTTGCTCCTGCCCCCTTGTTATCGGCTGCACCTGTTTGTGCTCCACCCCTCATTAGTCCCAGATGTTTCTCATTTCCCCTCAGTGTACTTATACCTGTGTTTGTTGTCAGTCTTGAATTGTGGATGTTACCTTGTCTTGTTTCCTTTCATCTTGTAGTTTGGTTTTGTTTTTGTCATGGTCTGATTTCATGGCTCTGAAGTGGAAGTCTGAAACTTTGTATGGCAGGGCTGTAATACTCATCCATTCCCTGTAAGTGCTGGATAACCACATGGATGTAATTGGACTACTTGGTACTGCATTTTAAGGATCCACATACACATGTATTCCAGTCAGGGTAACAAGCAAAACATGTTTATTTATAAAGCACATTTACAAATTTATCAGCACCCTTAGTGAGGAAAGTCAAAGATTTACCAATTATCACTGGATGAAAGGCAAAATTGAAAAATCAATGCAAAAAAACATGATTGATTGGTCCTTGGGATAAGTGTGTATAACATTTAACCTCAATACATGTCAATCAAACAGGACAACTAATGCCCAATTATATTTGTAACATTTACAATATTATTAAGTGAGGAGGACAATAACAAACAAAACAAAAAAAATTCTAAAGGATCAAAGATGACAGTGCTAGCCTTCAATCCCCCAGAGAGTTAATGTTTCCCTTAACAATGAATACACTGTTGGATTAATCTCCTGGTACAATAACATTGTAAAGAAAACATAGTAACAGGAGAAAGAATATCAAAGTACCAAATACAAATGCTTAAGAAAAAAAAATAAATTTGAATAACTTCGTCATCAATGTGATAGAAAATGGATATCATTTTTACTTAAGTACATTAATAGTGCTATAAACTAAAGTCTAATTGTATGTATTATTACTGATGTAAAATCTACCATGAGACACACAGTAGTGTGTTTCTGGTGTTTTAATTTTTAGGATTCAGGAGGTTATTCTATTACCCTGTAATCATAGACCCCAATCCCGGCATAGAGAGTCTCAGTGAATGTGGTGTAGAGTGTGTGTAGGTGGAACAGTAGGGGAGATACTGTAGAAGGACAGAGTGCTGGACTCCCAGTCCAGATACACTCCTACTCTTTTAGAGGGTGAAGGAGGGATAGGTAGGTAGGTTCTCTTTTCATTGTGCCAGAAAGAGTATCTGTTATCAGTGTGTCTGCTTTCAAAGTACTGGAGACTCCAGAACTGATTATTGTAGGCAAAACCACACTCAAATATGCCTCCTTTCCTCCTGATTCCTCTGTATGATACTGATATATCAGCCCTCTGACTGATCCACTGAACCTCCTAGTAACAGACTCTCCACACTCAGAACCTGAGGCATGCCATCAAATCTGTCTGGATGATCTGGATACGATTGATCCTTAAACGCACGCTCCACCTTTCTGTTCCCCTCAGACAGAGAGAGACACCTGTTCACTGTGTTTGGATCCAGAGTGAGATCAACAGCATCTGTACACACACACAAACACATACAGATTAAAGGAGCTATAGTGTGTGTGTTACATTTCTTCAGTCCTGGTTTCAGCCTGATCTCCCCTCTATGATCCACCCTGAAGAACACATACACACACACACACTAATAATATGCAGCAGTAATAAGTTAGTAAACCCTAGCACACACACATTCATTATGGAACCTGACATTTTGAAATCATGTAATCTTGTGTTATGCATGTAATTATAATGATTTAAGGGCAGTTAGATGTAGCTGGTGCCTAATATTATTAGTGATATACTGTGTCTAAATCCTGGTGTTTTGTATGTCATATTATGAATTGCCTATTTTATGAATATAGGACTCATAACAAATGTAACCCACATATTAGACAGCAATTTCAACAAGTAAACATAAAATTAATTTGGTACCACTTAATTTTACAGAACATTACCAGTATGTAATAGGTAAACATGTGCTCCACATAATGATGTTGACTGTGTATCACTATCATACAGAATTGTTAGCAGTCAGGCCTGGAGTTAGAAGTCACAGAACACAGGGACCTTCACCAAGAGCTGTTCTAAAGTACAGCATAGAACATTACATTTATGACATTTGGCATCCACTCTTATCCAGAGCAACTTACGATATGAACATTTTTTACAGTGGTAGTTGAAGGTAGCATTAGGAAATCGGTAAGGGTGGAAACATAAGACATTCATGATATCTACATACAGTATCTCACAAAAGTGAGTACACCCCTCACATTTCAGCAAATATTTTATTATATCTTTTCATGGAACAACACTATAGAAATGAAACTTGGATATAACTTAGTCAGTGTACAGCTTGTATAGCAGTATAGATTTACTGTCCTCTGAAAATAACTCAACACACAGTCATTAATGTCTAAATAGCTGGCAACACAAGTGAGTACACCACACAGTGAACATGTCCAAATTGTGCCCAACTCTGTCCCTCTCCCTGGTGTCACGTGACTCGTTAGA